GTACAACCAGATCACTCAAAGTGAACAGTTCTGATACAAATAATTCGAAAACTCCGTGTAAGTGTGCCTGACTTCTGATTTTGTGGCCCAAAACATCCCAAATGTGAACAATAACATTCCCTATCTCTTGCGTAAAACGCTGTGAGTAGATCACGGTTGTCTTTTCTTATTCCGATGGTGACCTTGCCCTTCGATCGTTCGAAGCTGTCACTGACATGCAAGCAGACTTGAGTTTTTGTTGATTTTTACGTCCCTAGTATAGGGTGGTACAGTTAACATGAATGTCTTTGGCGAACACTCTGATTTCCCTCTTCCAAAATGGTACGAACATGATATAAATACAGCTGATAGATCAAGGAAACCGAACCATTTTGATTGAACAGACGGGACATCGGCAGTGCGAGTGACCGACTGTTAGATCTAGTCCGATTTTCAAAGCGCGGCGCTAATGTGACTTTTCAATTTTTCTTATAGGTGTCCTTCGTACTAACAACATGGCGCTTGAATTACCATAAGTTGAAGAATTTATTCCAAAAGAATCTTGAGCGTCGGTGCTGTTTTGTTTGCAAACACAACTGCAGGCGCATGTTGTTAATGCGTATGCATAGGAATGTCAACAATGCCCATATTTGGGCATATATCAATATTCCTGCACAACCAGATTTTGCAACCGGTTTCAGTTTGGTCTGTCGACGAACGACAGTTGTTATGTATTTACACTTAAATATATATTAAACGTGGGTAATAAATAAAATACCACACTCATTCTCGTTAGGTTCCATTTTTACGAAACTCGTGAACTTTCTATGGTATCTGACCGAGCGAAACCATAGAAAGTCCACTTGTTTGGTAAAAATGGTATCTGACGAGAATGAGTGCAGTATTCTCTATTAGTGAGTGAGTATGGTTTTACGACGCTTTTAGCAATATTCCAGAAAAGGGCTTCACACATTGTATGTTCTCTATTAGCTTTATATCATCTTTCAGAAAAAATAAAAACAATGTGGTTTTGTTGCTCAGTTGAATTGTATCTCAACCACCATAGAACAAATTGCAAATTGCAGGTTCAATGCCAGTCGATAGTGTTACCTGTATGATGTGATGCGTTGATAACGTGAAACGTTTTTTCTTTCTGCCAGCGGGGGCACGGGTGGCCCAGTCGTCTTAGGCGCCACAATTTGGTGTGCAGAGTTGCGTCTCTTGGGCTCGCCAGAAACCTATTATTGAGGGTTCGAATCACAGTTCGCCCCGATTATGTTTCTAGGTTTGTCAGCACCATATCTGTGCTCGTGGGTTTCACCAAAGTGGTAAACGTCTGAGACCTGCATCACTTCGGGCTTTTCTCCCACATCAAGCTGACACGCCTTGATATAACTGGAATACTGTTAAAAGTGGAGTTAAACCCAACTCATTCACTCATTCTTTCAGCCAGCTATGCAGTACCTTTATCTGCATGATTCTTCAACAGCATGGACCAGGTCACACAAAAGCCACTGGTATTAGACAAATTTAGGAGTAAATTTAAAGCAAAATGCACAGCTGTGCAGTGCATTAAATTTCTAGTTACAGCAATGTACTTTGAAACTACTTGGACTTCTATGTGCGTATATCAGGGGACAATACTTTGAAGATACTTCAAGTCCCTTAAATGACACTGCCTTCATCAAACGAGTTATCGATGAAATCACACCGAGCTAAAACATATTTATTCAAAATTTACCTATAAATCTTAATTGCTTCAAAAAACTATTATTAAAAGTAGAATTACGCTGAAAAAAAGAAACTTGAAACTTGTCCAAATGAATCCCTTGTCTTTGTCTGTCTTATATTTTCAGCAAACATTCGGTGGATCAGTGTTTCATTTCTCCAACCCTATATTTTCTATTTCTGAGTGCACTTTCGTTGACTCAGAGATAAATACTCTTTTATCAAGTGGAGCTATGAACTATGTCTACACCTACGTTGTCTCCGACAAGAGAAACGACAATTTGAGACTATTTCACAATTTGAAGTACTTAAATGCTTTCTGTCACTCACCAGTTTATTTAGGCTTCTGTGGCAGTTGTTCTTCGTAAACGTTTTCTTTGAGCCTGCTATAGACTTATTGGTATTCGTATTTTTTGGGACTCTATGTTCAATCTCAATGATGAGGTGATTGAAGAGCTAAAGTGGTGGCATGATTCTGTGGATAATTTTAACTCTTGAAGTTAGACATTAAGGTTTGATTCACAGGTTGACAGAGATACCTTAAAGCTAGGATGTGTGGTACGTTTCAGAGAGCAGAGATCCTACAAGGAAGGGGGCACAGGAGTACAACTGGGAACTGTTGACATAATGCTGGTTTGAATGGTATTCACGCCACTCCTACAATACTATAATATTCTCACATACATCAGCACAGCAATGGCCAACATAAACAATAAGGGAAATCCATCGCCACATCTTACGATGCTGGTCAAAGACCTCTGGTCGAGCCTCGTTGCACTGCAATCACTGTTCAGGAACAAACAGCCAGCATGCAGACCTGAAGGACAATTGAAGGGAAACACATTGAACACATGAAGGGACCCCACACAGTGGATCGTTCGCAATATTCCAAACCAAAGTCAACGGTCGGTTCTAGGAACCGCTTGCTGAGTTCGAAGACGCCTTAGCACTGGGCAACTGGCATGTAGAGAACGATTTTATGAATGCTCCAGTATGTATTTTTTGGGCAATCAACACGAAAGCTGCACAGAGGGCGTTTACTTTCGTAATTGTTCCATTTGGGCCAAGGTGAGGTGAGGTTAAATGGGGTTAAACGTCGCGTCCAAGATTATTGCACTTATATAGCGACGTGCATGCGCATGCACGTGTATGTGTGTGTGTGTGTGGCTGCTTGTACTAGTCCGGACTGATGCCGATTTATAGTGCTAGCTCAATGAAATACCATGCCGCAGTTTAACATGAATACCCAACTCAGACACAGTATACCGACTCCGAGCCGACCAGTCCTTGTTTTAGCCCCTTAATGCCGAGCGCCGCACAGGGTAACAACAATTACCATCTTTTAACGTCTTTTGGTATGACGCGGCTTGGGATCGAACACTGGACCTTCCGCTCGCCGGGCGGACACTCTACCATTAAACCACAGAGGCGGTCTTTGGGCCAAGGCAGCAGTGGGTTTGGTTTCCTAAGACAGTTATCAAAATGCAGGCCCCTCAGGTTGCCAAACAACCAGTCTAGATTCTAGAAAAATAGTGCTTGAAAATTTACGCTTGCAGAGTGTTTGTAAATGTTATTTTAGGGAACTTACATGACCTAAAAGGCCTGTTAAACAACTACCTATGTGTTTAGTGGAAAGCACATAAAAGTTCATACAATGGTGTTCTTCTTTTGAAGTTACAAACGTTTTGTAGACAATGAAAGTAGGACTTTCCAACAATTTCTTCAGCATTTGTTGATTTTTTTGGTTAGGGCCTGACACACCGGGAAGGACTGCCTCAATACTTAATACAGCTTCAGCTGCACTCGGGTATATGTCTGCAGCCTATAGTTTGGTAAACATGGCACATAGTCCCTTTGTAACTTGGTAAAGTGTTCTGAAGTAATGCCTGTTTCTGCCTGTGATCTCAGTATCAGGAGCTTACATATTCAATGTCTTTTCATTCGGTATCAGTCTCATGCTAAGACCTTCTGACATTGCACCGTGAGCACGGAGTTAAGGTGTACGACCCTGTCACAAGGATGTAGGAAAGCAACTATTCACATGCAATGAAATACAGCTAAAGGACAATGGCAGTGCTGTTATTACTTTATTAGGCATTAAGAATGACACACGGCTCTCAGGTTTTCAAGTGAGTTTGTCACCTTCTCATAGCAAGAAGCTGTGACACGTCTCTCCATCGTTACCTCACATTGATGTGACTGCTTCAGTGCACCCGGCTCTTAAAGCTGTGTTTCTAACATTATCAAAGCCCTGTCATGCTCTGAATAGCACCAGCATATCGATCGAGTTACTCAGGAAGGAGTTCGAGATGCAGGATTGTCAAAGTTTGGCTACAGTGCAAAATCCTGCAGGCATCCTGGTGCAACTGTTGCCGTTGATAAGGGTGTTGGTGCACATGGGGTACAGAAGACTTCCCCTGGGTTGGTTAGTTGGTTGGTTGTTTAACGCCGCACTCAGCAATATTCCAGCTATATGACGGCGGTCTGTAAATAATCGAGTCTGGACCAGACAGTCCAGTGATTAATATCATGAGCATCGATCCACGCAATTGGGATCGATGACATGTATCAACCAAGTCAGCGAGCCTGACCACCCGATCCCGTTAGTCGCCTTTTACGGCAAGCATTCTATCCCTGAATCTTCACGGGTTTGTCCGCTGAGAGTAAGCCGATGTATTTTACAAAGATTATGTACAATCCAAACTCTGTTCACATATGTGTATTGTTTGTTTTAAGATTGTATTTGTTGTTGGGCAGTTGCTAATCGTAACTGTGTCTTCATTGTCAGTCTGTTTTCACTGTGTGGCATTAATAGAACGGATGTTTTTATTAGTCGTAAAAATGTTTGTTAGGGCAAGTTCAGGATTTTCTGCTGCTTTTTATGGTGGCACATATTTCAAATGTTTTAATTTCCATGCATTTAATTCCATGTGATATGTCATGAGGTAATTTATCTAATTTAATTCCATGTGATATGTCATGATGTAATTTATCAAATTTAATTCCATGTGATATGTCATGATGTAATTTATCAAATTTAATTTCATGTGATATGTCATGATGTCATTTATCAAATTTAATTCCATGTGATATGTCATGATGTCATTTATCAAATTTATATTGACAATATTATGTCCTTCAGACCTGTGATCTTTGACGGAATAAAACAATAAATGATTCTGAATATTTCACAGTCAAGAGACCAACAACTAAGTTTTCAACATGATCATTGATGCTTGATTGGTTGTCACAGCATATGCATACATTGACAGAAACAAGAGTCGAGTACTTTAAGTTCGACCTTCCTGGACGCATACTGATTTCGGCTACAAGAAAGGAACTTTCTCGCTCAACTATCAAAGGAGGGAAAACACAATCTCTACACAACGACACTTTCATTTGGCAGTTGGCAGTTGATGGAAGAAACAGGTAAAAAAATACTCAACCTCTCTGTTTTATTCAGAATCACCCATTTACCGTTTTACATTTGACTGTCGGAAAGATACCTATACAAAAAATCATACGAACAACAATACGAATGTGTAAGCATCCGGACAGACCCCACGCAAAGTGTACGTGTCTGCACACTGTCATTAGATTTTCTACCCGTGAAGATTCCCGGGTAGAATAGATCTTCAGCAACCCATGCTTGCCGTAAAAGGTGACTACGCTTGTCGTAAAAGGCGACTAACGGGATCCGGTGGTCAGGCTCGCTGACTTGGTTGATGCATGTCATCGATCCCAATTGCGTGGATCGATGCTCATGATATTAATCACTGGATTGTCTGGCCCAGACTCGATTATTTACAGACCGCCGTCATATAGCTGGAATATTGCTGAGTGCGGCGTTCAACAACAAACCAACCAACCAACCAACTCAAGAGCAACCTTACGTCTTGACGTCACATCAATTGCGTGGATCGATGCTCGTGATGTCAGTCACTGGATTGTCTGGTCCAGACTTGATTATTAACAGACCGCTGGAATATAGCTGGAATATTGCTGTGAGCTGTGTATTGAGTGTTGCGTTAAACAACAAACAAACAGACATCAATAAGAAATGTTCCAGCAATGTATGATGGCAAGAAGAAAATATAGTTGCATGTAGCAATAGCGGGCTCAAAGTAACACGCAAGCACAAACGTACGCACGGCCTTGGAATTTCTGTGGAACTATCTACATATGCATACACAAATTGAACATAATAGGGCAACTGAGTAGACGAGAAGCGGTGCTTTCACAATGGTGGCCATAGACGACACAAAAATGACGCGCTAAACGAATGCGCTTCAGTGACTTAAATGAGTGAATGGAGTTTACTGCCGTACTTGCGGAAAATTAAAACGCAGCCAAAGACAGGAATCCCAGCCCCGCTTTGGGCAGGTACAGTTGAGGCGGGCGTGCCCGAGTCAGGAGAACCATCTCAGCGAATAGAAAACTGGTCTTAAGTCCCTCAGTGCATCGAAAGCAATGTTTTGTCTGATTAAAAAAATCAAGACATTTAAATTTACCTTTGGACTGTGTTTTATCAACTTTTCATACGATGGTATTACCAATATTACCTAAAGGTTCAGAAATCTGGGGCTTGGAAAACTTAGAAATTATAGAAAGAATACACCTCAAACTCCTCGGACTTATCACAGGATTAAGAAATTCAACTCCTCTTTATGTGATATATGGCGAATTAGGTAGGCTACCATTAAGAATAATAATTTGTAAACGAATGATATCTTTCTGGCAAAATTAACATATCAATCTGATGTGAATAAACCTTCACAGCTGTTATATCAATATTTGGCACTTAATAGGAACAAGCTTTTAAGACTATTGCATCAAACGATCCCTGGGTTAGGTGTGTTATGGATATACTAGACAGTATTGGATTATCTTATGTATTTAACAATCCGTCAATTTGCACAACAAAGTGGCTAGTGTCAGAAGAAGAGCTAATACTTAAAGATCAATTTCTTCAGAAATCGAGAAGTGACGTTACTTCTATTTCTGAAAGATTATATTATAAACATTTATAGGACACTCCGGTTCTCGATAAGTATCTTCTGTTGCCAAAACGAATATCAATTCCAATACTACGATTTCGAACCTGTAATCATTATTTACCAAATGAAAAATATTCCAAAGGAAAATAGAACCTGTAAATTATGCAATTCTCTATCTATTGCTAATGAATTTCACAACATATTCAGATGTAATTTGTTTTAAAAGAGAGAGGCAAACATTTCTATCATCATATTATACAGAATGGCCAAATATTATAAAAATTGGTAAAACTCTTATCAACAACAAACACACAGGATCTAAAGAATTTATCGAGATTTATTGTAAAAATGTCCATTATTATTAAACATGATCGGTAATCACATGTTGCTATTAACTGCCAACTTGTCTGCTATTTGTACATATATATAATTATTTATTGTAATTTGCTGTTATACCACCTTTTGTGGATTTTGAGAATAAACTGATTGATTGATTGGTGAGGCGGGCCGCGCCGACTCGGCATGGGTTGTGCACTGTGCAGACGGGTCCGCCCAAGGCGGTAACCCGAGCTCTGCTGAGGATGGGCGTTGAGAATTGGTCCATATTCGAATGCTCAAAGGGTTTGCTTGTACCAAACCGTCAAAAGTAAGGCGAAACTGGCGTGAACTGGAGTTTTCCAGGGTGTTCTAAACCCATATCCGACCTCGTCTATGTTCACATTCTCAAATGGTTTGATCTCACCAACGCTGTCGGTAACCCCAGATCTGCTAAGGACGGGCGTTGTGACGGGCGGGGATCGCCGCTACGAACCTGGGATGTGCCGGAGTGTCCCATTCGCCCTTGTTCGAATCCTCAAAGGGTTTGCTTGTACCAACGCCGTCAAATAGGCGTGTGCCGGAGTGTCCCAGGGGGTTTCATACCTATTTCCGACCTTGTCGATGTTCGAATCCTCAAATGAGTTTTCTTGTACCAACGCCGTCTAAAGTAAGGCACCGCTTGCAGCACATCATCCATACGAAATTGGCATGTGCCGATTAAACAGGATGAAACGTACAGGTCACGTTTATTACAATAATTACAATAACAAGGCAATAATTTCACAAATAGTTTTAGTCCATGATTCAGGTGTGATACATGTGTTATAGTGCAAACCATTTAAATACTTTTATTTAATATTTCATTTATCTAAATACCTAACTGGTTCAACATGTTTCCAAGTGCACCGAAATTCTATGCCCTTTGTCTGTTTAAAATATTCAGCAAACATTCGACGTATCCCCTCTTATCATAAGCCCCTCCGGGCAGGACCCTTAATCTCCAGGGCTATCTATAAATTTCAATTAACACCTCCTAACGTCGCCGGATCTTACGTCTATACATACACGTGGGACAATGACCTTGCCACACGTTACGTAATACCTCGCTCTACAAAACCCGACTGACATGGTCAGTCAGAGAGAGACAGCCTAGAGAAGAGCCAGAAGGTAAGTGACAGAACGGTTCTCCCACCCGGGAACATTGGCCACTCGGTCCCGATGTGCGTTCTGTCACGTTATTATCAACATGTACCTTATCGAATGTCATTTCAACCATCAACAATAAATATGGCTGCTGTCGTCTAAACTTCACCCCTGAGTTTTGTCTTCCGTCATCACCCTGAGCTACCATCCGAGGGCCGAAACAACGCCCTTGGACAGATTGTCATAGCGACTGATTTATGACTACCATTGTCTGCAGTACATTTGACTTCAAGGGCAATTTACCCTGTAGCCATGTCTCCATAACTTAATTGTCATTACGTTTTAGGCGCTAATCCCCGTTGTTAATCCTCACCAACATTTCATTGTATTTTGACTGTCAGTCAGCCTGGACTACCATATTACTTCCCTTTAACTACTGCTTTTTATAGTATGGCATTTATTGCCCTAATCGATCATCCCATGAACTGTGTTTGTTAATCACGCCCACATGTCCAAAGCAACGTCGTTGTCTCTTTGTCTGTCCATTGTTGTTCATTACTATATATGTGCTACCATTACACAGTTACTACGGTGTTAGTCAGGCTTGGTATTCCGAGTGCTGGCATAGGGACGACCTCGAGCAGGATATGCTGCTCGTAGGAAACGCCCTGAGGTGAGCTGGAGCTCCGCTCACCTCTTGTACGACTGAGCTGGAAAGTCTGCTCATTGCTGTGTTTGTGTTGTCAGAGCAGGTATTCCGCTCATTGTGCAATTGTTGTTTATTGTTTACATGTTGTGCATAAAGCGTTCCGGGACAGTGATGTCGATTTTGTCCTTTATTCCCCCAAGAGCTAATTCCCCGTCAACATGCACGTTGACACATGAGCCGATACGATGCGTTTTTGTTTTAATTCATGTCAAATTCAAGACAAAAGTTAATCGTGAAAACGCCAACATTACACCTGGAAGCACCAGAACCAAAATCGTTGTACGAGTATTCATTTCACGATTTAATGTACATGAAAATAAACAATATTATTAAAAAAGTTTAAACATATTCTTGTGAAAATATTTGAAAATGACAATCTGGCTTTCATTCTCAGGTGAGTTAGGTCATTGTCAAGCTTTGTCCATTTTCCATTACACCACCCATTAACGTGAGCATGTAAGATAACGTTCTCGTTTTCTATCAGTGTTGATTATGAAGAGCTTTATGTTAAAGCTGCTTATTTTAAAATTTGGCTGAAGAGTACATAACGTATCAGACTATCCCTAAACACTTTGAATGTCGTCGTTTTCAGTAGCTCTGAAATACAGTGATGATCATTGTGGTAAAAACATTGTTTGAGTTTATAAGTGAGTGAGTGAGTATGGTTTTACGCCGCTTTTAGCAATATTCCAGCAATATCACGGCGGGGGACACAAGTAATGGGCTTCATACATTGTACCCATGTAGGGAATCGAACCCAGGTCTTCAGCGTGACGAACGAGGTTTAACCACTAGGCTACCCGACCGCCCCGAGTTTATAAGTAAATCGTGATCAATATGACAAAAATAGACGTTTCGACAATTTAAAATTTAAAAAAAAGTGTTTCCAATGACAATTTACTCTTAACGAGCATGTTTATCCCATATTTTATTTATTTATTAGAATCACCCCGTTCGAAAGGACAGTGATCCCAAAACTAGAACACTCTATTTATTTTTAAAAAGTAGCAACATCGTGTGAAATAAATCTTTATTTTTGTAGCAGCTGGTATCATAACAAATAACATGTAGTAAACAACATAAGTTTTGTCAGTGTAAAGGTTGTTTGAACTGCTCGACAGTTCAGGAGGGTTTGTTTGAGAGGGTTTATGCAACTACATGTAACTACCTGCCGACTGTCAACCTAGGTTAAGTGCGTCAGGCAATAAATACATACATTTCACAGGTATTTTGACCTTTACGCCAAATCTTAATCTGTTTTGGCGGATAATCTAGACTTGTTATTCTCTTGCATTGACAATTTATATTTTGTATTTCAGATTAATATATTTTGCAGATCTGGGGTCGATGTCTGTGATTGATTACGATGGCAAGGGTCTCGAGGAAATACATGATAGACAGCCTGGAGACATTTTTTACAATGAAGCCGGTAGGTTGGATGCTGGGTTGCTTACTGGTATAAGTCTCTGCCTGTCTAGCATCATGATTTAAGTCGAAATAAGAGATTAAATAGTTTAACAAAAATAAGCTTCCCTTTCCGCTTCATTCTATAAGTGTCTTATTTCATTTCATGCGGAAAACACGTTAATGATACAAACCTGACCTGGAAGTTTGATAAATCCAGCAAGTATTTGATGACACCCCCCCCCCCCACCACCACCAAAACAACGGTTTTTATTAACTCAGCTGCTTGTTCTTATTCCCCTCCCTTCATAGATTACGACCCGTGAAGGTTCCGGGGTAGAATAGGTCTTCAGCAACCAATGCTTGCCATAAAAGGTGACTATGCTTGTCGTAAAAGGCGACAAACGGGATCCGGTGGTCAGGCTCGCTGACTTGGTTGATGCATGATATCGATCCCAAATGCGAGGATCGATGCTCATGACATTAATCACTGGATTGTCTGGTCCAGACTCGATTATTTACAGACCGCCGTCATATAGCTGGAATATTGCTGAGTGCAGCGTTAAACAATAAACCAACCAACCTTCATAGATTACACAGTTAATACTAGAACCATTTCATATTGATCCACTTTTCAAACACAAATATATATTTATGTGCAGATAAACGACTTTATTGGGTCGACTCCGACACAAAGACTGTCATAAGCCAGAGGCAAGATCCACTGGGTGACCAACATGCTATTCAGAAGATTGACAAAGAAACCTTCTTTCTAACCATTCACAACCAAGTTCTTTATCTCAAGGAATATGCTGAGAGGTATGTATACTGCTTGTCACGTATTGATGTTTGTTTGTTTGTTGTTTAACGCCGCACTCAGCAATATTCCAGCTATATGACGGCGGTCTGTAAAATAATCGAGTCTGGACCAGACAATCCAGTGATTGACATCATGAGCATCGATCCACGCAATTGGATTCGATGACATGTATCAACCAAGTCAGCGAGCCTGACCACCCGATCCCGTTAGTCGCCTTTTACGACAAACATAGTCGCCTTTTACGGCATGCATGGATTGCTGAAGACCTATTCTACCCCGAAATCTTCACGGGTCGTCACGTATTGAAGCCACACAGATATATTACATTTCTAAGCATTTATTACATCACTTAAAATACGTTTAAACCCCAAAAACTATGCTTATTCCAAAATAGATACTATACGAACTAATCAGACAAACTAGACTAGCTAAACATCTATTTATAGCTTATTTCCAAAATTACTAATATCGTTCTACTAACAATAATACCAGTGAAGATCCGGGGTACAATAGGTCTTCAGCAACCCATATTGCCGTAAAAGGCGACTATGCTTGTCGTAAAAGGCGAGAAACGGTATCGGGTGGTCAGGCTCGCTGACTTGGTTGATAATATCATTGTGTCCCAATTGCGTGGATCGGTGCTCATGATATCAATCACTGGATTATCTGGTCCAGACTCGATTATTTACAGATCGCCGTCATATAGCTGGAATATTGCTGAGTTAAACAACAAACAAACAAACAAACAATTATACTGCTATATTTCTACTACTACTGCTGCTACTACTTCTGCTACTGCTACAACTACTACTACTGCTACTACTACTGCTACTGCTCCTTCACTAATACCAATAATAAAACTTTAACCCCCCTAATACCAACAATGATACACTGACACACACTGTGAATAATGAATATTCTGAGTTTGTTCATATACTAGCGCAAAAAAAGTAACCGTGCTCCCTATAAAGTTCAATAAATGCACATTTATTTTGAAATTAAATAATGCTCCTTTCAGTTCATATTCATCAGGACTTCTTCTCGACTTTACTTTGTGATTCACAATTTGTATGTTTGTGTGTTTGTCGGGAGCATGATATTCATACACGTGTTTTTTTTCAATATGAACAGCACACAATAATTGTTTAGTTATCAGGTGCTCATAAAAAACCCACTTATCTTACCCTATGCAACGGCTTAGTGAACATCAACGTCTGCAAGAAGGTATGAGACATAATTTTAATTTCATCGAAACATAATTTAATCTCTTTGGAGACGTTATCTACAGTAGGACAACACTCTTCAAAGCTTTTCAAAGGCCGGTCATCCACGTGTGATGACACGTCAACAAGACAAACGTATTCGGTCGGTGCATCAAAAGAAAACCGCCACATTCACAGGTTTGATAATTTGAGGCCAGTTAGTCTGAGGGAGCACAACATCCGGCCTAGATGTCCAGCGACAAGCCCAATGTTGTTTCTACGTCACCGACAGGGACGCCTAGTTTCATGCAGACAGCATGAGGTTCAGAAGACAAAACTGTATACTGTTCGCCCGCCTCCGTGGTCTAGTGGTAGAGCGTCCGCCCGGAGAGCGGAATGTCTGGGGTTCGATCCCCGGACGCGTCATACCAAAAGACGTTAAACGATGGTACTTGTTGTTACCCTGCCTGGCGCTCGGCATTAAGGGGCTAAAACAAGGACTGGTCGGCTCGGAGTCAGTATACTATGTCTGAGTGGGGTATTCATGTTAAATTGCAGCATGGTATCTCAGTGTGCTAGCACCATAAATCGGCATCAGTCCGGACCAGTACAAGCAGCCACACGCACACACGTGCATGCACGTCGCTATATAAGTGCAATAATCTTGGATGCGACGTTAAACCGCATTTCACCTCACCTCACCTGTATGCTGTTCACAGATGAGTCCAGGTTTCATCTGGTCAGCTCCGGTGGTCGTGCAAGGTTCTACATGCGTACAGGAGAACGTTTTAACGACGCTTGCGTTACTCAGCGTCGCAGTTTAAGGGTGGACGTGTAACGGTATGACATGGTATCGTAAGTCATGGGAGAACACAACTCATCATTGTTAATGGCTGTTTGAGTGATGTACACCACCAGGACGACATGTTTGAGATCATGTTCTCGCCTTAGTGCAGTTGCAGGGACGTAATGCCCGCTCACATGTTTTCGAGGCAGCATGACATTGGTTTACTGTAGTGACATTGTTAATGAATTGCTCCACGCCCCTCTCTTAGGGCGTGTCGCTCTGTCTCCTGTCAGCAGGTATGGGTTGTGACGTGGTGACCTTCACATCAAGGCGATGCTTTCCCCACGGAGCAGAAGGGAGATATTTATGCTGTATGATATCCATCCATCAGTCCATGCATCAATCCATCCGACCATCCATTGTTCATCAATCCATTCCAACAACCATACGACCACCTATCCGACCATCCATTGCTCATCAATCCATTCCAACAACCACCCGTGCATCCATCCGACCATCCATTGCTCATCAATCCATTCCATCAACCATCCGTCCATCCATCCGACCATCCATTGCTCATCAATCCATTCCAACAACCATTCGTCCATCCATCCGACCATCCATTGCTCATCAATCCTTTCCAACAACCATTCGTCCATCCATCAGACCATCCATTGCTCATCATTCCATTCCAACAACCATCTGACCATTCATTGCATATCAATCCATTCCAACAACCACCCGTACATCCATCCGACCATCCATTGCTCATCAATCCATTCCAACAACCATCCGTCCATCCATCATCAATCCATTCCAACCACCATCCGACCATCCATTGCTCATCAATCCATTCGTCCATCCATCCGACCATCCATTGCTCATCAATCCTTTCCAACAACCATTCGTCCATCCATCAGACCATCCATTGTTCATCAATCCATTCCAACAACCATTCGTCCATCCATCCGACCATCCATTGCTCATCAATCCATTCCAACAACCACCCGTCCATCCATCCGACCATCATTTGCTCATCAATCCATTCCAACAACCATCCGACCATCCATTGCTCATCAATCCATTCCAACAACCATCCGACCATCCATTGCTCATCAATCCATTCCAACAACCATCCGTCCATCCATCCGACCATCCATCATCAATCCATTCCAACCACCATCCGACCATCCATTGCTCATCAATCCATTCCAACAACCATCTGACCATTCATTGCATATCAATCCATTCCAACAACCATCCGACCATCCATCATCAATCCGTTCCAACAACCATCCGTCCATCCATCCGACCATCCATTGCTCATCAATCCATTCCAACAACCATCCATTGCTAATCAATCCATTCCAACATCCATCTGACAATCCATTGCTCATCAATCCATTCCAACGACCATCCGTCCATCAATCCGACCATCGTCCATCCATCCATCTTACTAATGCACTTAACTCAGATTTGCTTTTCACTGGGTGGAACTAAGTTAGTATTTTCTTCATTTTGGGTAAGGGGCGGTCGGGTAGCCTAGTGGTTAAAGCATTCGCTCGTCACGCTGAAGACCCAGGTTCGATTTCCGACATGGGTACAATGTGTGAAGCCCATTTCTGGTGTCCCCCGCCGTGATATTGCTGGAATATTGCTAAAAGCGGCGTAAAACCATACCGATAGCACCCGCCATTCACACAATTTGCATAGAAAAGTAGGTATTTATTGCCTGACAGAATTCCTGCCATGTGACGACGGCCTGTAAACAAACCAGACAATCAAGTCATCCCTCTTTCGTCCATTCTTGTGAAGAGTTTGTCACTCTGGATCTTTATGCATAGATCCAACAATGAAACAGATGAGGCGGTTTCACTGGCTCTGTGCAGTCAATTTCAGCCAAAATAAATATTATTGCACATGCAATAATCCTTAACCTTTTGGTCAAATATACACAAAGAAAAAACTTAAGCATACCCCTATTTCTGAACCATGACAAATGGCAAAAATCATGGCACGGGATGACTGACCACAGGTGCCGGCCGATAGCAATGTCATCGGATGGAACAAACATTTGACAACAAATAAAGACGATATTGGTGAGTTGTGATTGAAATTTACTGACCAAAACATCATGGTAACACAGGTACTGTTTTTGACCTTTGACAATACCTAAAAAAAAGTATGGATGCTGCAGGATTAAGTAAACGAGTTACGTTTGATGTTTGATGTGAAAATGTTCCTTAAAGTCTCCACTTGACATGACACGTGAAACAGACCAGAAGCGGGTATGACATAACCGCTACGTGTCATGCCTCCAGTCAGACGTTGGATCAGTTGATGGGTCAACAACAACCACTCCTGATGCAATGCTGCTTCCAATTGGCGTAAATCTTGCACAGGAGGATCTCGTGCCTGTATGTGCCGCCCCAGAATATACTAAACATGTTCAAGAGGGTTTAAATCTGGGTTCATTGCTGGCCAGGGTAGAGTCTTTATTGCATTGGCCCTCATGTAATCCACGACTGCAGGCGAACGATGAGGCCTGGCATTGTCATCCATGTACTGAGGTCGAGCAGCAAGAGGATGGTTGTCAAAATGAGGAACGACTAGCCTCAAAAAGTCCCGGGTGTATTGAGCCCCTGTTACGTTGCCCCTTATTGTGACCAAATCCAACCTGCAAACATGAGAGATACAACCAAAAACCATTACCGAGCCCCCGCCGCATGCAAAAGTTGGTTTAATGTTCCTGGGGCTGTAGGTCGTGTTCCGGTGCAGTGACGTGGAGCAAAAAGCGACTTTCGTCTGACCAATGGATCCGTCTCCAAGTTCTCAGATTCCAGTTCTGTAGTGCAATACACCATGCTGGACGAACAGCTTTGTGGGGATCTTTCAACAAGGGACGCTTTGTGACTCTCTAGGCCTCAGTCTTGCTGCTTTCAGTCGGTTCCTGGCGGTTCTGGTGCTGAAACGACGACTGGGGGACCGTAGATGTTTCAGACGAGTACTTGTTAAAAAGTGTTCTCGGCGTATGAGACGAAGAAGGTCCCTGTCTTCGCGATGTGTCGTCACAGGG